TCTTTGTTGGTCATCGCGAGCATAGCGAGTACTCAAATATGGATGAGAGGTTACGGTGTGATAGTTTGCCAAACTGCATGTCTCCTATACGGCAACGGAAGTGACATCAGATCGGGGGAAGAAAGTCGTAGACGCGTAACACTGATTCGCCAGGAACGTGGATGAGGCTATGTCTGCCATGGCTCCTGAGCAACGACTTGGAATTTCATGATATCGTACTTTCTCCCGTTCAGGTTCATAAAACACTTATCCACAAGTTCCAACCCTTCCTACCAAGAGAGACTGCGCAGCTGGGTTTTACTTTTGTCACAGATAAGTTTGTGCGACATCAGTTTCTTGGAATGGTTAAGACGCGCGTTGGCTAACAATGACTGGATGGATTGACACTGAAACGAGCAAGCCTGTACACAGCAAGTCAATTAACTAGGCGCATAATGATTCACAGAATTTGGTAGTGGAGGCTGGCTCGCTACCAGTTACTGCTAACCCCAGCCACGGAGTTGGAATTGTATAGTAGCCCCAAATGTCCAAGATGGAGACTCTGTGTGTCCCTGCTGTGTGGATACCGAGCGGAGTTTCTCAGAATTCCCGCATCGTCCAAGGACGGTGCCCTGTCCCAACAACTCACACCGTCTGCCGCCCTTGTAAAACCCCAGTACCTGCTTCGGGGACCGAGACGTGTGCGGCACACGCAGGCGAACTGTTCATCTTTATTCGTCCAAACCCACTTTCCATGACTGTGTCCTACCACCGGAGGAGGTGGATGACAGAGGAGAGAGTGCGGTAGATGCTGCATAAGGCTGCCTTACTATAATTGTACTGTAATACAGTTTGCCGTTCTACAGCTACTCTGTGAGGCCTACCGGATGTGAACACTCGCTCGGGTGTCTTATAAATCGGCCCGGATGAAGTTTAGGACGGGTGTTAACTCATTATCATCTGTTAAGCTTGTTACAAAAATAGGATGCATTCCAGTTACTAATATAATTATAGGAACACAATACAAGAATATGGTGTTAGAGCATAAAATTAGTTTGGATGTCCAGCATGACTAAACTGTTTGCGGTCATAAAGGATGAACAGCCAACAAATGCACTTCCCTCTAAAAAGAAGAAAATTAACTAAAGCTACACCTCACTCCGCTTTTTAGAGGAGCTGACCAAACAGGGGCCGAGTGGATATGACCAAAAAGGGACTGGGCTCTCTCTGAAACGACGCAGGACGTTCCCAGACTCAGTACACATTTGGGTGCACAAAATACACAGGATGTGTTTATTAGGACCCAAATGCTATTATTAATGCAGAAAACAAAGACGCCCCATTCGATACTTAAGGTTTACAATGCGAAAAAACAGGCCCGGTCGAAAGAATAAAGGTACATACCTCATCGCACATCACGAGACCCACGGTTCCTTTGTGAAGTTCAGCAGCATGCAATCGAAAAGTCTCATAGGATATTATTAGGATGGGATTGGCCACTCGCGGAGGACGCTGCGCCAGAAAAGAAGCTTGAAAAAAAAATAAAAGAAATAGTATGTTTATACAGTCAGGGGTTTTAACCAGACCTGTAGACAGGGTTCGTGGTTATGCTGATAAAGTTAAACAACCAATCGCCTTAACTTAGTCGTTAAACCTACGACAATGTGAAAAGGCATTTACAAAGGAAAATAGCAGCAGAGACGTAAGAATATTCTGATAATGGGTCCGTTGCCCGTATCGTCTAGCATTTTGCGCAGTGCTAAACCAGCAGCACCTGCTAGCAGTTGAATAAGGAAGTACGACGTCATTCGTCAGAGGGTAAACAAGACGAAACCTGCAGAAATAAAGTACAAATTAAATAGCCAATGACAAAACGGAGGCGAACTAGCGACGGTTAGTGAGCTTGCAACTTTCCCGAGATTCGTCTAAAATGGCTCAAGATAAAGTTCAATCTAAATGAATAGCCAATTCTATAGAACTCCGTAGCCGCAGTGGGACCCAAACCCACGATAGCCAGGGTATGGCTGGAGTAGAGTCAACGCATATTAACGCAGTTAAATGCAATATTCGAAACCAAAAACGGACTCTTGGTATTGGATGCTGGAATGTGCGAAAACCTCTGGAACATTGTACTCAAAGTCTGACAGCGCACAGTCTCCATGAATATCACGTGGATGTTTATTGCCTGTCAGAAGTCCGACTTCCCAATTCAGGCGCCCGAGAAATCAAAATCCCGGGGGTCGATTCCCATCTCATCAGACGCCGACTCCCCGAGTCAGGCGTTCGAGAAATCGAAATCCCGGGAGTCGATTTCAATCTCAGCCTATATCACAGTGATCCGTGTGACTCATCTGGTAGACACGGTGTGGCTATTGCCCTCTCGGAACAA